AATTGACGATCTTGTTCGTGGTGTTGCGATTTGTGGGACATTCGCTTGTCTGGGACATTCGCTTATCAATCACGTTAGTTTAAAGCGCTTAAATAGTAAGAAGGATATTAGCTTTATTTCTTTAATCTGCCATTACTAGTTATTATAGAGTAATTGATTAAATAATAATGATAGATAATGATAGAAAAGTGGCCGGTTCGCTTGTCTGGCCGGTTCGCTTATTAATGACGTTAATCTAAAGTAATTTTTAATTAAATCTTAGTTAAATTTATTTTACATTCTATTTATTCTTTTTAAATACTTATATAATTACGAAGAATTTTATAATTAGTATTTTTGCTTTTTAAGTATAAGTTCCTATAATATTTATTAGGGTTATTATATTTAATATTCTTAGTATTTCTAAGGGTAGTATACTATATAATCTTATTTATCTCTTAATCTCTTAAAGGAATTGTATTATATTATTATTTTTTAGACTCTTTTTATATTTTTGTTATAATTTAATCTTAGTTTTTGTGTACTTTTTAAAGCTTTTTTATATATAGTTTAAGTCTAGGTTTTATAATAATATCGGGGTTTCTCTTTAGTGTTCTCGATGGCTATATATTAGGCTAGAACTACCTAAAATAATATTCTAATTATGTATTAATAACTTTTTGTAACCCCTTTATATAATAGAACTTAATACTCTTTGTTAGAATATAAGTAAGGACCGAATTTAAGTATAATACTTAATAGCTAGGCCGGGTATAACTTAACTACGCTCTAAGAGCTAAATATCGAAAAAAGTATATAAGAACTAAAATAGCCCTTAGTATCGCGCGAGAAAGCCTCGGATCTAGCTAAGAAATATATAATACGAAAGGTAGAGGCGGAGAGTAATAAATCGAGCTTATATAGGTATCTATCTATAATAATAGCATTAATATAGGTCTTATACTAGCGCTTACTAGGTCGATAGTTATTAACCTTATAGGACTTTTAGTCCTTACGAGGGGGGTAGCGGCGAGATATAGTAAGATCCGGGCTAGAATCGAGAAAGAATAAAGTAAAATTAATAAATTCTTTAGGTAAGTAAGGAGAGGTAAGAGGATCTAAGGCGATAGCGATATAGATCTAGGGCGGAAATATTTAATAATAAGTATAAAGAAAAAAAAAGAGATATAAAGAAATAAAAAAATAAGGTATAAATAAATAAAGTTTATATATAATAAGGGCTATTTTACTAGAATCCGGGCCGGATCCTCCCGGAACCCTATTACGATAATTAAATTCTAATAAAATATAGTATATACGTAAGATCACGATAGATACGCGGGTAGAATCGGCCTTATCTAAGGTAAGCATTATTAGCTTATATCGCTCTTTTTCTAATTTAATCTCTATTAATTACCTAATTATATATTAAATTGTCGCTTTTATAAACCTTATTATAAAATTATAAATTCTTTTTAAATACTATAGATTATATATTTATTAACTTTATTATTTATTAACTTTATTATTAATTAACTTTATTATTTATCAACTTTATTATTTATTAACTTTATTATTTATTAACTTTATTATTTATTAACTTTATTATAATTTTAGGCCTATTTTATTTATTAAATATACGTATTTTATAATTCAGGTAATTAATATTTTAATTAAGGCTAGCGTAGCCTTTATCGATAGCTATCGGCTCTCTAAAGGTAATATTCTTGTCCTAGTTATAGGGTGATATCGCGCCTAAAGGGAGTTTAAGGCTACGGACTTATTTTTTATGTTCTTGTCGATTTTAGACGAGGTTTCGTGAAATTATAGCTATTTTTTAGCCACGCGAGAAGCTTTTACTTATAATATATTAATTATATTTTAAAGTATAATATATTAGATTAATATTTCTAGTCTTTAAGAGAAATTAGATATAGCTTTTTAGACTAGCTTATTCGGAGGGGTATATACGACCCTTTATTATCTTCTATAGTAAGTCTATCATATACGTGATAATAATAAACCTCTAGAGGATATCTTAGATACTTAGACTTATAATAAGATTTTAGGAGAAGTATATATTAGATAATTCCGTGCAGGATTTAAAGTAAATATGGCTTTTAGCCATAGACGAAAGTATCTTTACCTGGAAAATCTCCCCTCATATCAAGTTCGTCTATAGACGTTTTATTCGAGTTTCTTGAAGCGGGTATCTTGTCGTGTGCTCTCCATTGACTTGTCTAGCCTCTCAAAACATGTCTCTTTCCACAGAAGAAAGCGCAATTCGGGATGTCCATCCCAAATTCCCTCACTCCACCCTCATCCTGCACCGGGATATCAGACCGCTAATCCAAGATAGCATGGAGTTCCTGAATCTGCTGCAGCACGGCTGATCGACTAGTACCGCCCCTGGCCGATTTCGCCTCAACACTCGACTCATATTCGAACGCCTCTGCAATATCCGCCTTGAATCGAGAATCGATGGCTTGCAGTTGCTCCAGGGTTAGCTTGTCTATCGGAGTTCCTGTATTTTCCGATAATACAATAACGCGTCCAGAGATATGATGAGCTTCCCTAAAAGGACATCCGTTTCGCACTAGCCACTCCGCGATATCAGTGGCAAGCATCGTCTTATCCAGGGCAGCCAACATCCGCTCAGGCCGCACCGTCATGGTGGCGATAACCCCGTTGGCGATGCCCAGACTGTCCGAAACAGTTTGGACCGAATCAAGCATGGGTTCCCATCCCTCCTGAAGGTCCTTGTTGTAGCAAGTTGGCAAGCCTTTCACGCTCTACCAGATACCTGTTAGTGGCTGCTCTTGATCCGCTCCTCATCACTCATGAGCTCATATGTCTGTATCCGAACTCACCATCATCAGCCCAGCCATTTGACCGAAAGCACGACCCGACTTGCCGCGCAAGAGTTCCAAACTGTCGGCGTTCTTCTTATTCGGCATTAGACTAGACGTGGATTAGAGTCCTATGGGATTGTCTGGGAGCTGGGATGGATGTAACGAACCTGCTGCCGGTGCTATAAAGATCTGCCAAACGACAAAACCCAAACTCGGATGTGGAGTATAATATGAGATCTTCAGCCCACCTGCTGATATGGTTGGTGAACATCGAGTTCCAGGTCAGGAACTCGATGATGAAGTCACGGTCGCCGGAAGTGTTCATAGAGTTCAGAGTGATTCCGCTGAAACCAAGCTCTGCGGCTATTGCGTCTCGATCGATACCAAACACATTACCAGCTAGTGCGCCACAACCAAGTGGGCTAAGGTTGACCCTTTCGAAGACCTGACGCAATCGCTCGAGATCCTGCTTGAACGAAGCAGCATGTGACATGATCCACTGACCCCAGCGAACTGGCTGCGCGCGTTGTAAGTGGGTGTAGCCGGGCATGAGGTAGTCGCTAGGGATGTTACTCAGTAAGGGGCTTTGTCCGGATGCAATGCTAAGCTTACATTTCAGCCTCGGCGCGTTTGGTGAGGACTCGAAGAAAAGCAACGAGTTGGCTGTCGATTTCACGGATGCGGTCACGCAGCCACATGCGCATATCACAAACGACCTGCTCGTTGCGGCTGCGACCTGTGTGTAGCTTGCCAGCGGTGTCTTTTCCGATGATCTCTCCCAATCGACGCTCGTTTGCAGTATGAATCTGATTCGATGTGTTAGCCTCGGGAGGTTAAGTAGCGTGGGCCAGCGCCTCACGTCTTCGTCATTCGGCATAACAGCGAAGGTTCCCTGCTTCCATTCTTCCATCACTTCAAGCAGACCATGCTCGATCATCTTAAATTCGTCTTCGGTAATAATGCCAACTTTTGAGTTGGCCCTGGCAAAAGCAATCGATCCAAGAATATCCTCCTTGTAGAGAGCCTTATCATATCCAATGGAGGCGTTATACTTATGCATAAGCGGATCAATCCCACCTAGGCATCGCAATGTTAGTATACTTGCGAAGCTTGTGTCCGGGGACAATTGAACCTGTAAACCTCCCACCCCAGAGCATATTGGTTGCCGGGGCGTCCGTCTTCTTTTCGGCCATGTTGGAGTATCTATTCTCGGCGCTCGTCGCGATCGGTACGATGGTTTGTTCGTTGAGATTTCCCACTCGATGGGACTGATGGAGCTAATTGAGGGTAGAGCGCGTGGTTATAGCAATTGATGTTTAAATTAAGGGACGTGAGTTAATCTGAATAATATTACTTAATTAAAAAGACTAAGAACGAGAGTAGGGCTAATTAAGTTTTAGAGCTTATTAAAAAAAAAACAATAAAAAAAAACAATAAAATTAGTATTATATAAAAAGAATTCTTAATAATATATAAAAAAAAATTTAATATAAAATAAATATTTAAATTTTTATTTATTTATTTATAAATTATATTATTTAAGTAATTTTATTATTTAAAATAGAATATTTATAAAATTATATTATTTAAAATAGAATATTTATAAAATTATATTATTTAATATTATTCTTTAAGTTAGTAGTTACTTAATATAATACGCTGTTTTTATCTCTAAGCCCTATGTTCAAACCTTTAGTATACCTACTACACGGGCTATACCTATTAAAGTAACTATCGTAACCTTTGATAATTTTCCCACCAAGTATAAACCCCATCCCTGCAACTGTCACGTCACAGTCATCGGTCCCCGCCAACATTCTGCCCCGCGATCGGAGTCCGTACCTGCGTTGGTTCGACTCATTGATCTTCGTCGTGTAACATTTGAGGGCCCTGTATCGCCTGTTGATCTTGCAAAGGCGGACTTGTTGTGTCGATTTCTTCCATCATGGATCTCGTCAATCAGTCAGTATACCTTCTCTACGATTCGGTCACCATTGACCCCATCTCACTCGGCTTCAGGCGCTAATGGGTGTGTATGTAAAGCCTTGAGGGTCGCCTGCTCTTTGCTGTTCCCAAGAGTATGTCTTTTCCTTCAAGACATGGAAAGTCATTCGCTAATAACCCATAGAGGGAAGGCTCAATGCCGCCGCCCTCAACCTTCTCGAGGGCGCCGACATTCAATTCCGCCGCGAGAATCGCCTCGACATTGCGCTCGTGAAGAATCTACCAATTGCTCTTATCTTTCTCCCGGCCGCCGACATTCCAACTTTTGTTGGGCAGGGCCGGGTCGACCTCGGCATCACGGGATGGGATCAGGTACAGGAGCATGAATCAGCAGTGCGAGCGACGACACCCGGCGGAGGATGCGATATGGTGATGGATCTTGGCTTTGGTGGTTGCAAGCTACAAGTTCAGGTCCCAGAGAAGGGCAGATTTGCCGCTACGAGAGACTTGATCGGAACCACAATTGGCACAAGCTTCGTCCATCTCGCAGCTGATCACTTTGCAAAGCTCGAGGCAGCTGCGGACGGCGACCCAAACCCCGAGTCAGCGACTGCTAACACACGGCAATTGCGCACCAAGCTCATAGAGCTCAGTGGGAGCGTGGAGGCAGCGTGTGCGCTCGGTGTTGCGGAAGGTATTGTTGACTTGGTCGGTGAGCGACTCCCTGAATCTGCGACGGTGGATTTTGTTTCTGATTCTCGTGTGCAGAATCCGGCGAGACAATGAGGGCTGCTGGCTTAAAGGCAATCGACACCGTTGTCGAGTCCACAGCAGTGCTCATCAAATCCAACAAGCCTTCCAAAACTGAGATGGTAGAATTAATCGCCTCCCGAATTCGTGGCGTTATCACAGCACAAAGATATGTGCTCTGCCAGTATAACATTCAGCGGTCGAGCCTCTCAGATGCGGCGAAGATTACACCTGGCAAAAGGGCGCCTACTGTCACGTCTCTCGATGAGGATGGTTGGGTCGCTGTCAGCTCGATGGTTGAGAAGAAGAAAATCGCACTGGTGATGGACGATCTCGCCAAGGTTGGCGCCTCGGACATTCTCGTGCTAGACTTGCACAATACGAGATAACAGTCATGAGTAATGGCGTAATGGAAGGGGCGCAAGGGCGTGAAAGGCTGCGACAACACTAGACGCCCCGCAGCTGGCATCAGTGGAGTACAGCAGGAAAGGAGCATAGTCTTGGATATATACCTGGGTTGCTATAGACGAGGAATAAATGACAGCTGCGGCAACGCTTCGTGGTGCACACTAAAGTTTGGTTGTGTTCAGTGTGATATGTGTGAACGCCGAGGCCCGATGCGTTTGTACGGAAGCTAGCGGCTTGTCGGGGCGCAACACTGGTTTGCTTGATTGTGTTCGTTATCGCACCAGCCTCTTTCCACGACTTCGCCAACAGCTTCCCCTGGATAGCATTGGCGTGTTAGCGTGTTTTTTGCTCCTTCTTGGGTACCTTGTCAACCACATTTCTCTACAAGAGCCCCCGATTGATTTAATTGAAAAGCCAGAGAGGCTTTGGCTCGTCCTCCTGTGAACGTGTTCCTCGTCCCACGACGCTGTGATGGAGGCAGCAACGCGCACGCACTTTCTGCATCACACTGAGCAAGTGAGTAGTATTGTGCCAATTTTCTAAAAATCGCTTATGATCGAACAGGTCCACGTAATAGATCAGGATGCCTGTCACTTCTGCCAACTTCGAGCCTTTCCTTCCCACCGCACACTACCCATCACTATTGTCAATACCCTTAACGATGAAGCGTTGCCGCAGAACTTCCGTTTCATCCAACAAATGAAATTTGGCCCAGGCGTTGAAGCGGCTGCCCCGGCCTTTCTTTGTGGTTGTGACTGTAACATTGACAGTAAATGCCAATACGAAAGCTGCCACTGTATGGGGGAAATCGAACGTCCCGAAGCAAAGGACGACAAACAGCCAGAATTAAACGCGTATCACATGGAAGGTGACAAGGCCGGTCTTCTACGATCATCTATGCTAGACTCAACCAGGCCGTTGTACGAATGCCATGCGTCTTGTAGGTGTTCTGACTCGTGCCCGAATCGAGTTGTAGAGAGAGGTCGTACAGTACCTCTACAGATCTTCAGAACGAAAGACCGTGGATGGGGTGAGAAGCATTTACATACTTTTATTCTGACCCATAGCTAAACACAACCAGGTGTCCGGTGCCCCGAGGCTATCAGGAAGGGGCAATTTGTCGACTGCTACCTAGGCGAAATCATTACCTGGCAAGACTCCGACCAGAGGCGCCAGGCATCATCCACTGCGGAGCGGAAAGACCTCTACCTGTTTGCCCTGGATAAATTTGAAGATCCTACTTCACAAGATCTTCGACTGAGGGAACGGTCTTTTGAGGTCGACGGGGAGTTCATGTCCGGGCCGACACGGTTTATCAACCACTCTTGCAATCCTAATTTACGGATCTTCGCGCGTGTTGGAGATCATGCAAACAAACATATCCATGATCTAGCACTTTTTGCGGTCCAGGATATAGCACGCGGAGAGGAGCTCACATTCGATTATGTGGCGGGAGTTGACGATCACGAGAGCAACCACGACACCACCAACATGGTGCCGTGCCTTTGCGGCAGCAGTAACTGCCGAGGATACCTCTGGTGAGAGTCCTTGCACGCATCTGATTCAGAACAAAGAAATCGAAATTCAAGAGAGCTTGAATTCAAAGGTCAAGCATCCGTTTCCACAATACTCAGCCACCACGCGTCTGACATGGCCTGATAGACCGCGTCATCAACGCAACTGCTCAGGTCGCAAGTGTCAGAAGCGTACAAATCATTTATAGATAGTCAAGCCTCGAGCCAATACGTGCGCGGGGAAACGCTCATGGGTATTTGCCCGATAAGGAGGGACACGTTAAGTTAGTCTTAGTACAAAATCAACCAGAACGCCAGCGTGGCTTGCTGTTGTCCGAAACTATGGACCGGTGCTAATCACTACCGCCTCACATGTCTGGCTTCGCGCTGCCACTTTCAAGTACATCGAGGCTGCTACAACCTGGTCTTATATCTCGTTGAAACCTATCTTGAACGTTGGAAATTTTTACGGCCGCCGTGAGCCTGACTGCACCGGCATATGCACCCACGAAGAGCCAGCCAATATAACAGACTGTGGGCGGACTGTCGACCTGCGACTGTTCTCTCCGTGAGGTCGGGAGCAACATACGTGTAAATCATAATAGGGACCACGGTCTTCTTTTCCTCATGTAAATCCACCCTGCTAATGGGTCCTTGAAATAACCTTACGTGTTACATCAGTAAGCTGTCGGCATCAAGGTATTCTCGCCGCAAATGTATCCAAATAAGCTCTGGCTGGTCCTGATTCTTGCCTCGCTGAGATTGTCTGAGCATCTTCAGACTACGGGCTGTGACAGCTAATACTATTGCTTCGCAATTATGCTGCGTGTTTTTACAGCACATACCGGGCCAAAACCCCTTTCTTACATGGCCTGACAGAAGACCTGCGGCTGGTGCCTTGGATTCTCTGTGCGCTGATATGATACAAGGAGAAAGTTGGCGACTTTTTTTTCTAGGCTAACAGTACTGCGCGAATTGATAAATCAAATGAGGGCAAGGCGGTCGCTACCGTGTAGATCTGGCTGTATGGGTGCTGTAGGATTGGGCCTCTAGTGGAGGAACATCGAAACTTAGCTGAAATTTTGAAGTCGAAAAGGAAAATTGAAGAGGCAGTAGAGCCAGACAGCGTTATTGACCTCTTTTGCTCTTTGACTCTGGAGAGATCCAGGGGATATAAATAAATCCTAGATGTATCTGCTACCTCACCTAAGGTGCCGTGCCAGAGGAGTGGATACGGAGCTATGCCGAAAGAAGAAAGCTACTTTGACCGCTTTTGGCCCAACTGGGGAGAGACGCAATGGGAAGGCTGGCAGAAAAAAAAAGTTACCAGGTACTCCACCTTTCACCCATTTCCTTCGCGCCGACGATTTTGGAACAAGCAAACAACTCTGTGTCCGCAACCATGATTTCCAAAATCCCTTCAAAAACCCCCGGAAAGAAGAGGAAGGGATCGATCGAATTTGTAGAGTCAGATGACGAGCTATCAGGTGCCCCATTGGAGGGTGTCCTGTCAGACACTGATGATGGCTCGAGCCTGGCGGCGGAAGACGTCTCTGAAGGCTTCGATAGCGAAGAGATCGACAACGATGAACATAGTTCCGACGCGGAGAGCGTTTCGAGCACCTCAAGCTTTCACAGACATGCCGATTATAAAGTTACAACCGATGCAAACGGCAACGAGCGCTACGAATATGCCGACATAGATCCTGTGTATGACAGCGACGACTCGGACGCCCAAGAGCAGCCTAACACCATTGGAGATATTCCGTTGTCGTTCTACGACTCCTACCCGCACATTGGATACGACATCAATGGCAAGAAGATTATGCGCCCGGCGACTGGCGATGCTCTTGATGCCCTGTTGGACACAATCGAAATCCCCAAGGGCTGGACCGGGCTGACTGATCCTCAAACCGGAAAGCCATTGAACTTGAGCCAGTCTGAGCTAGAGCTTCTGCGCCGACTGCAAATGGCGGAAGTACCTGAAGAAGGATTTGATCCTTATCCGGCATGTCTTCTTCTTCCCTTAGTCGCCGACCTTTCACTAACTCCTAGCAGGACATGGTTCCCTACTTCACTGGTGTCGAGGAGAAGATGCCGCTTAGCTCAGCACCTGAGCCTAAGCGACGATTCTTGCCATCCAAGCACGAGGCTAAGCGTATAGCCAAACTTGTTCGTGCCATCAAGGACGGAAAGATTCTGCCATACAAACCCCCTCAAGAGCGCGACCGTGAACAAAACCAAGAAGAAGAAACCCACTATGACATTTGGGCCAACGAAGAGGCTCAAGAACCCCATGTCATGCACATCGCTGCTCCCAAGCTTGCACCACCGGGATACGACTTGAGTTACAACCCCCCACCCGAGTACTTGCCAACGGGCGAGGAAAAGAAAGCCTGGCAGCAGACAGACCCCGAGGAGCGAGAGAAAGAGTACTTGCCAGCACAGTACGACGCTCTACGCAAGGTCCCTGGGTATGGTGAGTTTGTCAAGGAGAGATTTGAACGCTGTCTGGATCTGTATCTGGCGCCACGCATCCGCAAAAACCGTCTCAACATTGATCCCAACTCCCTGTTGCCTAAGCTCCCACGCCCCGAAGAGTTGAAGCCTTTCCCTACCCTCTGCCAAACGATTTTTAAGGGTCATGAGGGCCGTGTACGGACTGCTGCATTTAGTCCGGACGGCGAGTGGATCGCCTCAGGAGGCGACGACGGAACTGTGCGGGTCTGGTCCCTCAACGGCCACCAAGAATGGTCTGCTCGGCTGAGCTCTGAGGAAACGGTCAACATCGTGAGATGGCGGCCTAACAAGGACGCTTTCATCTTGGCTGCTGCCGCTGGCGAGGATCTTTTCCTTGCTGTACCGCCACTTGTCAACGATGCTACCGAAAAGGCTAGTCGAGATGTCTTGGACGCGGGCTTCGGTCATGCTGCTCACAATGCTACGACCGATGGGAACAACGCTGTAAAGAAAGACACTCCGGCTAAATGGACGCGACCCGGTACCAAGCTCGAAGAAAAGGGTGTATTGCTGAAGCTCACTGTCAGATCAGCCATCAAGATGCTGAGCTGGCATAGAAGAGGCGACTTCATCTGCTCAGTCTCGCCACGTGGACAACGGAGCTCGGTCGCTATTCACACCATCTCTAAACACCTCAGCCAAATACCGTTCAGACGCCTGCCAGGCCTCGCCCAAGCTGCACACTTTCACCCCTCGCGACCTTATTTCTTTGTGGCTACCCAACGTGTGATACGTTGCTATGACCTCCAGCGACAAGAACTCGTCAAGGCCATACAGCCAGGTGCACGATGGATTTCTGGATTCGACGTTCATCCTGGCGGCGACAACCTCATTGTTGGCTCTTACGATCGCCGCCTCCTATGGCACGACCTCGATTTGTCAAGCAGGCCTTTCAAGACGATGCGGTTTCATAGCCAAGCTATTCGGGCTGTCAAGTACCACAAGAGCCTGCCTCTGTTTGCAGATGCGAGTGACGACGGCAGCCTGCAAATTTTCCACGGCCGAATCGTGAGCGACTTGATGGAGAGCGCAACAATCGTACCAGTCAAGATGCTCAAGGGTCACAAGATTACCAGTAACTTGGGAGTGATGGACGTTGACTGGCACCCGCGGCATCCATGGTGCCTCAGTGCCGGCGCTGATGGGACGCTGAGGCTTTGGGCGTGATCATGGACAAACTCCTACAGCTCCGTATAACTAGTGTAATAAAGCGTCGGCGTTCGGACTCATCAGTGTTGTGATCGGTCAAAGTACAACTCAGTCTCAAGGCAGGACACTGTTGCCCTCGATCCCAGTGGATGGCAATTTAGACACGTGGATTAGAATCTTCCATTTTACTGCGCAATGCCAGGCACGCCGAAACTATGGAGAAGAAAAACCTAGTACAGACAACCTGAACAAGCGCGCAAGTCATAAGCTCATAACAAGGGAAAGGAATGTGTAAGAACCCTGCGGTTACCAGTGGCGGGCAAGGTGAGTCCGATTACCATGCAACAGTGTGCAATGCACGCCAGAAGCTGTTTGCTTGCTGTATAGCTCAAAGCTCCTGCTTGACGTGCCGAGCTTTGGCCTTCGCTTCAGCCTCAGCTTCAGCGGCCTTCTGCTTGGCAGCTTCGCTGCCCAAGTTCAGCTGCTGAGCCACCCAGTTCCAGCCATCCTTGGCAGCGTTCTCGAGCTTAGCGAGGACAGTGCCACCGGGAGATGTTGTTCCGTATTTAAAGTAGGTGGACTGCTTCCGGGCTTGAGCTTTCAGCTCCTCAAGCTTGGTACCTTGAGGAACAGGGATGCCGTAGCTGTCAAGATAAGCCTTGAGCTCAGTCTCGGTCCACGAGTCAAAGACAGAATCTTTTGCATCAGCTGTAGCACTGGAGATGTATTCGGTAGCCGCAGCATAGGCTGAGCCGCCAGCAGTCGAAGCAGACGAGTAGGCGGAGTTGGCTGCGCTGACGAGCTCTGCACGCGTGGCATCCTTCTTCTCGGCAGCCGTCTTGGCTGCGGCATCACCATTCTTAGAGAGATAACCCTTTAGGTTATCGTACGAGAAGTCATCAAACGTCCACGCAGTCCAGCCGGTAGCGGCCTTGTGCGAGTGCTTGCGGGCAAGAGCACGGAGATCGTCGGTGGTGGAGCCTTGGGGCACAGGAACGCCGCGGGCGTCAAGATAAGACTTAAGCCGGCTGTCGGACCAGCTCTTGACAGCTGCATCAAAGGCATGCTGGGAGGCAAGAGCAGCACTGTCACTGGCCTGCGCAAACTGATTCTCCGCGTTGGATGTTGCTGCGCCGAAAGCGGATGACGCGCTGGATGCCACAGTGTCGCCAAGGATCTCAGCGCGGTTCTTGCGGACGAGAGCGCGAAGTTCATTCACCTTGGTGCCCTGTGGCACGGGGATGCCATTCTTGTCGCAGAAGTCTTTGAGCTGGGATTCGTTCCACGCATCGATGATCATATCCGTCAGCGTCGCATACGCAGACTGAGCGCTGGCAGTGGCGCTGGCAGCTTGCGAGCGGGACCTGAGATATGCGAGGCGTGAATTGCGGCGTACAGAAGCAATCAATTGGTCGCGAGAAGAGGGTTGGGGAGCAGGAAAGCCGTGAGAATCAAGCCACTCCTTCAACTCGGACTCGCTCCAGGTCTCGTACAACCAGTTGCCAGGATAGGCGGTCGTTTCCCCAAGTTTCTTAGCGACAGTCTCATAGCCTTGACGTGCCTTCTGCAGCATAGTGTCGCGCTGGCGCGGCTGAGGCACTATCTTTTGTCAGTGCGTCGCACGTGGCGGTAAGTGAAGGGTTTCTCACCAGGAATGCTGTGCTTGTCGGCGAATGCCTTCAGCTGGCTCTCAGTCCAGGTGTCCAGAATCCAATCCTTGACGCTGCCCCATGCCTGCTGAGCGCTGTCTTCAGTCTCATACCAGTTGGCTTGGACTTGCTCAAGAAGACTGTCTTTTGTCGCCTCAGCGTCCGCCTCGGTCTCCTTGCCCTTGCTTTGCAGGTACTCGCTGAGCTGAGCCGAATCCCAGCTCTTGTAAGGAGCAACAACGTATGAATCCCAGTTCTTTTCAATCAATGATTCAAGATCTTTGCGATCGGCAGGCGTGGGATAGGCAATATTGTTATCCGAGAGCCAACGTTCCAGCTCAGTTTCATGCCATTTGTTGTATACTGTTGACATGTCAACTCAAGATCAATTGGAAGATGCGTCAATCATTTCTTACCGGCTTTGCTGCCAGGAAACCAGCTGCTAGCAGCAACTCCAGTGACAGCGAGAGTCGCTGTCACGAGAGTAGGAAGGTATCTCATCGTGAAGAAGCGTTGGTGCTCGAGGGAACAACTTCCTAAGAAAGAGTTTACGTTGATAGTCCAGTGCGAGGAAACAGGGGAGGATGAGGGAAAAGATTGTTGGAAAGAGCAAAATTACCTGCCGATGGGTGCCGGTAAAGCAATGAGGTAATGCACAGGAGGCAATCATTGTGTCACACCCGCTCGTGGTGACTGGCGAGCTGTGTCAACTGAACTGTCAAGCTTGGGTCGATAACGTCACTGTCTCGTACACGTACGCGACCTGGATCCAGCCTCCAGGGCACACAGGCCACGAAGTACACCTGCTGCCATGTGCCACCCATCATACCTGGTACCTTAGCATTCCGCCAGGTCATCAAGGCACTGTCCCCCGCACTCACTGATCCAGCTTGGACACTGCATTGCTGCTACGTACGTACGATCTTTGATTAGCCAGTCCTGACTTATTACGGAAAGGCTGAGAGCAGTGCATTGGCCTTAACAGCCGATCACTGCTCTCCGGCCCTCTGCTGCTGGACGAGCACCGCTTTTTGATCTTCGGATGAGCCCTCGCTACGGAGTAGTGCGGCTTTCTTCACTTCCCAGGATGACGTCAGGCTCGAGATTACGGACTCTAGCTTACTCGACAAAGAACATACCTGGTAAGGAGAGATCATTCGGTGGCATGAAAACTTCAACTGTCAACTATAATAGTAAGGAAGCTAAGCAAGATCTTAGCCATTTGCTTATTAAACTTGATCCTCTGTCCTGATGTCTTGCAGTTGAAGCAGGTTACTAACTTAGGTCGTAGTTAGCAGTTTCTGCATTTCTCCAACTGTGTCTTGGCAACTTGAGCAAAGCTTGTCAACACACATCGGCGATGCGGGGAAGGCAGCATCGGAAGGGGACCAAAAGCTCCGACCGGACTTAAGGTACCTTACCTGACCAGGCTGATCTGATCTTACAGTACCGGCTGACAGAGCTCGAGACTCAGCCGACCGACGGTTGACAACCAACAACTACGAAGTAAGGTCGTGCCACTGCACCAACGCACCTTGATCATCATGGAGGACCTGAGCATCGTATCGGGTATTGAGAGTGGTAGCACGGCAGGGGGGTGATTAAACGTTGTGACAATGCATCCTGGGCTTGTATGAGATTGGCATCAAGCGTGGAAATAAATTCTATCTAGCCCGATGCGCCCGACCCAAAGTTGACCCAGATGCTCGCACGCACCGTAGGGATGTCTGCCAAAGAACGGATGACTGACGCTGCTCATGCGTAGAAGTTGACAGTCTAAAATGAAAGTTAGCATCAGATCACAGCCCAGAGCTGAAAATGGACGACTCACGTCTTTCTTCTTTGCCTGCACCTCCGCAATGGCATCGACATAATGCTCGTGTCCTATTTTGTTTTTTCCTGACCGGAGAGCAATCATACCTGCCTCAACACACACGGCTTTGAGCATGGCACCGCCGAACTCATCCGTGCTGCGAGCCAGTTCGCCCCAGTTGACACCAGGGTCAACTTTCATCTTGCGTGAATGGATCTTGAGAATCTGAGCTCGCGCCTCTTCGTTCGGCAGAGGAAACTCAATTTTGCGGTCGAGACGCCCAGATCGCAAAAGCGCCGGATCTAGGACATCCACCCGATTGGTGGCCGCAAGAACCTTGATGCGGTCGTCTGAAGCAAAACCATCAAGCTGGTTGAGCAGCTCCAACATTGTGCGCTGTACCTCACGATCGCCGCTCTTCTCGCTATCAAAGCGCTTTGTGCCTACCGCGTCCAGCTCATCGATGAAAATGATCGCGGGTGCCTTCTCTTTGGCAAGAGCGAAGCAGTCGCGAACCAGCTTGGCACCATCACCGATGAACATCTGTACTAACTGGGGACCAGCAAGCTTGAGGAACGTAGCATCTGTCTGCGCCGCGCAAGCACGTGCAAGTAGAGTTTTGCCTGTTCCAGGAGGACCATACATCAGCGCGCCCTTCGGAGCTTTGATGCCAATCTTCTTGAAGCGTTCGGCTTCTTTCATCGGCCAAACCACAGCCTCCACGAGCTCCTCAATTTGCTTGTCCAACCCACCGACATCATTGTATTGCTCTGTTGGCTTCTCATCGACCTCCATCGCCTTAACTCGGCTGTCGTACTCAGCCGGAAGTGTGTCAAGGATAAGGTACGAGTCCTTGTTCACACCAATGAGGTCGCCGGGCTTCAGTTCCTCAGAGTCAACCAGGCCAATGAGTGGCAGGAAAATAGTTTGTCTTGTCGAAGTCTTGATCACGGCTGATTTACCGACACGGGTCGCATCAAGATCGATATTCGCTCCCTCTTCTGAAGATTCGGCGGTCGGGTCCAGGTCGAGCAGTTCAACAACATTGCCAACGAGATACGGTAGTTGCCTTGGTAATTTGCATTAGCGCGGGCAATTCTGTAAGACATTCATAGCCTTGCTCTCACCTGTTGTTGGCAATCTTGTCGACATTGTCCTTGATCTTTTCCCCCATGGCTGCCTTTTCGTGCGATAGTCGCGACAGCTCGCTCTTCATGATCCGTGAGTCGTTCTCCAGCAGACGTTTACGAGTCTGGATATCTTGCGTTCCGAGGCTCAGGATTTCGTCATCCAGTATGTCATCTTCCTCCTCTGCTTCGTCCATCTGGGCATCCAAGTCCGCATCTCCCTTGCCATCATCATTCTGCTTCTTCTCTTCCTTCTCCTTGCGATCGAGGTCGTCGAGCTCTTCGAGGGTGGACATGATGACTGTTTCAGGGAATGATGATGCAGTGTCCCCGGATCTCGATGAATTCAGAACTGCAAAAAGTTGTTGCAGTCTACAAGTGGTGTGGCAGGGGCGCCCAAGTTCACTGTTCGCGTAACTTAGTAGTGCT